AGAGGACAGGACAGGACTGACTTGTTAATAAAATGTATCGCTAATTTGGGTCGTATCGCGTGCTGAAGCTTCGTCGTCGTCCCTGTGTAGAGAATCGAGGTCCGCCCAAGGATAATGTGCCACGAAACGGCGACATCTCCCGTCGCAAGTCCGAACATCACTACCACAGCGATCAACATCGCTGTCTTCATCACGCTTCTCCGACGGCCGAGAAGGATGCGCATGCAGATGAGGAAGAGGATTGCATGTACGCCTACGCATAGACATCCAGTGGATTGGTGTTCACATAATGTTTGATTCTGATTGCTGATAGGTGCGTACCATAAAGAAGAGATTCTACCTAAACACATGCGTGATATACCAGTCATACCAATTAATCATCATAACAACTGAGAAAGGGTACGCTCACCAAAAAGGCTGCCAATATAGGCGGCAGGTCGCTCTCCGACAAGGGGAACTCCTGGCTGAGGGGGTTAGCTGGAGCGCGTCGGATGACGACGCGCGAAGTCGTAGTCATCGTCCACGCGATTCCATTATTGCAAAGGCGAAATGACACGCTTGGAGGAAAGAGAAAGGTCAGTTCATTATCATTGCTGGAGGTAATCACTGTTTCGTGTGGAAATGGCTCGGAAACAGTATACTTTGAACAAGTATCATTGGCCCTGCATCGGAACGATCATGATACTTGTTCAAAATGGGCTGTTTCCAGAAGAAATGTCAGCCTTCAGCCAGGCTCCAGCAATGTATATATCAAGCCCGGCTGTCGATATACCTTTTCTCGTTCGCGCATTTTACACGGCGGTTTTGTATCATGGGCGAAATTTCGTGGCGCAATTCCAATAGTTGCTATTGAGTTGCTAATGTAGATTAGCTGCATTGCGGTCAACCAAACGCGTACGAAATGAGCTATGGATCAACTATGAATGCTTTCATGCAAGATCCTGTAAATAAATGATTTTTCAAGTGAATGGAAATTTTCCGTGGCGTTTATGCCGCTCCAATGCCACTCAATACATAGGCGAAGCCTCAGGGCTGCCATGCCAGGTCATGATCAATTGGTCTCTCTAGTAACTGTGGGCCACTTCTCCATCAGAGGATTTGCGTTATGGGAAGGTCGCTGGGCTGAGTGGCCCTGAAAATATCCCGCGAACGTCCTGATTCCGACAAGTATCGCAAATTTTGGCGGATTAGGTTTGCACTAGAATCTGGGTGAGCCGGTGAGGGCTCCCGGCTGAAGTTGAGCATAGACCTCTCAGATTTTTCACTGGACTTCATCTTACACCCCAATCCGAATAATGGAGGCATAAGGTTTGCTAAGTTTTGAGGCAAGTATAGAAAAGACAAATCATTCAACACACTCACCAGTCTCACCTCTTTTTTCGAACTTAAGTTGTCTAACGCTCAAGAGAGACTAATATTGGAAAGTCAATGTCTTAACACAAAGGAACTCAAATTACTATGTAGAATTTAAACAATTAAAATTAGGTCATGAATACAATTACAATGATCAATGTGTTGCAGCATGATTGGCGTAATCAACTGTTCTTGGGCGTCTATCTTCAAATGTTGCTGTTTTCGATTTGCTGACATCAATGAGCTCGATTGTCTGACTCGAGCCTGCTGCCTCTTCATCATGAGGACTGTTTCGGAATATTGTTTCCGGGTGCTGGTTTGCATGAAGCATCAAGCTCCCTATTGTGCTGAGCACGACGGAGTTCGGGCGTACTTCAAACCTTGATGTCATGGGGGTGGTTAAGTCAATCTCCTTTACAACGGCTCCCAATCCCACTTGGACGATTAACAGTGTAGGCATAATTGCCTGGTAACATATCGTGTTCGGTATCATTAGATTTGGTGAAAAGGAGCTTGCTCTGAAGCTTACCACGACACGCATTGCCATTAAAACTATAGTAACCTGTTAATGAGTCAGTCGTGCTGATAAATCAGAAGGAATAATTGAGAACTTACTCTATACGGATTTGAGAAAGGTAATAGAACGTAGAATAAAATACAAATCGAGTATATCAAGCTCGACTCCACTCTGCCCATTATTGATTAACAAGCTATGGGTAGTTGTGGCTGTTCAACTTACAATATAGCAATGGCTGTATGGTAAACGCTGATTTGTTTCTGTCCAACTAATCGTTTAGCTATTCTGGAAATCCAGAATATCCTGCAGACTAGGACAATGGGTATAAAAGGTAAGACGAAAATCCACAGGAGTTAGAGGAGGTATAATTCCTACCTGCGATGAGCGTCAAGACAATGTTGATAGCAAGAATGCTCCAAATATATACTGGAATGAATCGGTTCGGTTCTGGGGTTAGGATTCCAAGCGCCGGGCCCACCCCAAGAAATCCCCAAACTGGCATTTATGAATTTAGGCAGATATTTGATAAATGGAGACTCTTGGACGTACTTGTATCAGCCACAACCAAGAGTGAACATCCGGCGAGAATGTATTTTGAGCGACCCCAAATCATATAGCAACGATACAGCTGAAAACGGGGTTCAGATGTAACTATAAGTTTTCCACAACTCATACGGAGGAACTGACCAAAATTAATTCAGCCACGAAGCTAATGAAAAGTTTAGACCTTGAAGGATCTCGAAAAGTACAATTAAAGGCCGATGAACTCACTTATCAGCCACAAAAATCGCGGTTTTTGCATGGATCAGCTTCGTTGTTATCCCTGCAATTTTTGGATCGGCAAGTCTGGGCACAACATACGAAATTACACGGAATGTGATGGCGATGTCCGCTGTCGAAAGGACGAACATAACCACAGCGGATATGGATATGAACCATTGCGTCAAGCGCCTATTTCGCAACAATAGGAATATGCAGATGCAGAAGAGGATCAAATGTATTCCTGAGATGCAGATCAATTATTCCATAGTAGTAGAAGTAATAGAAGAAAAAAAGGAATCTAACCATATAGCAACGTTTCCACCTTATCGAATGATCTGAGTTTAGAACAAGGATAGCCTGAACAAAAGAAGTTCATACCATGGCAGATGTCGAGAAAATGGCCACGAAAGCGAGCGCCTCGTCCAAAATGTTTCCCAAGGCCCCTGCTATATCGCCGCCGGCGCCAGTGGTAAACGACATTCCGCAGCCAGAAGAGTCGTGGTACGAGCCACGCCGCTCAGCTGTCTTGTGGAGACAACTGCAAGGAAACAGCGGAGCAAATAAGTGGGAAATAGAATTCCAAGGTTGCGCCAGACATTTATATATCTTTTGACTCCGAGCTTAAGTGACAATTGCAACGCTCCACGGTGTCAATGGGAGTGTTACTTAAATAAGTACGAAACTTTGTTAACAACCATACGAGGACCGGCTTTGAAATATTGGAAGCAGAAGCTTTCGGCGATCATCTCATCATCATCAAACCTGACGTCGAGCGCACCCGAATACTTAGAATCCATGAGAGAATCTGCAGAGGAAGGCAAGTTGTGTCTGTAGGCGCCGTAGAGCTCAGAATTCGTCGGTGATCCCAAGGTGATGCGTTGGATATGTGTATTCAACATAAAGAAGTGTCCGTGCCTCCGTGCCCCGCTGCCTATGCCCCCAAGTGGCAACAATTAATAATGATATCTTTAGGCGCAATTACTGGTGTTCAAGTACGGTACAGATGTAGTATCTAGATTCAATATTTACCTGGAGCACTCTTGACAAAGTCGAGGCTCGCTACAAGCTATGCGGCGTCGCCCCCTCCATAATGACCACTGTCAGTTAACAATTCCAAAAAATAGCTCTTGTGAGTCACTAGGAGGAGATGTGGAATGGTGCGAACAAGCGTGACCCGGCGCTTACATCGCGACTTGCGAGGATATAGGAATCCAACCGTATAACAATATGTGTCCACCTCATCAGAATCGGAGGGAATCAACAAAATGGTCAGAACAGAAGAAGAATCATACCATGCCAGCTGTCGCAAAAATAGACTCAAAAGCGAGGGCCTCGTCCAAAGTGTTCCCTAGAAAACTTGTAGTGCCAGTGGTAAATGCCATTACACAGCAGTAGAGTCGCGGTGCATGCAATGCCACCCAGTTGTATTGTCTAGACAAGCATAGAGAGATAGCGGAACAAAGAAGGGGAGACTGATTGAAATTCAGGCACGCATTCCACGCTATTCCACGTCATTAGATATTCATAATTTTTTGAGCTTCAGTGATAACGGCCCCAGCGTTACCTGAGCACAAGGAATGACATTGATTCTGAAGTTCGGCGTCATATCATGATCAAGGTTGTCGTCTCTGGGCGCACCCGAAGAGAATCCGTAAGAGAACTGGATCTATAGCAGATTAGTTGGTAACTCACTGGATACGTTTAGACGGGATGCCTATATTCTGTTGGGGTTCAAAGCAATCATATTGCGAGTATGCCGACAATCGCTCAGTTCTGCCTCAGAGGTTGATATCGACATCTGTTGGCGCAATCATTGTAAATACAAGATATGTAGCAAAGGCCTAATATATTTACCTTCACGCTGCCAAAGTGTCACCGAGCTGAGACCTCCGAGCCTTCAAAGTTGGAAGTTTTTTAAGTACAGCTGTTCCGGAGAGGAGAGTGGACGTGCGAACAAAGGTAGCCCGTTCGCATCGCGACTTGTAAAATTTCAGTCCAGGGCACATCGAAGGTATAAATAATGCTAGATGCAAACGGAAAACATGAGAGCAACATGAGAGCGGAGTGGCTGAACAATTATTTGGATGAGAGCGAAGGTTTGGATTGTCTTGCGCAACTTGAGCGGTGGGGCGCGTTCTTTGGGAACAGAGTCCTCTGAGGACTACAACAGACGAGCAAGTTTTTTGCTTATACTTGTTGAGTATACTGTTGCGTTCTACACAGGCAGCGGGGGGAAGAGAACGAAACGTGGGCGTGGTTCAAATCAAAGCCTGAGTGCAACGGACTTCCCGACGCCTGCGCTGTTTCTTGTCATGTAAATTCATCGTCTACTGGCAGGTTTGAATATCTAAAGTAAACGACTTACATAGCCCGCTTAGCTCAGTGGTAGAGCGCGCCACTCGTATAAGCCTCTGGTGATATGGTGAGGTCGGTTGTTCAAACCAGCCAGCGGGCATTTCTTTTTGTCCTCTACTTACTCACGTCCACGGCGTTTTGGACTTGTTTGATAGATTTTTAAATATTGAAAACTAATAAATAGTCTCATCTCATAGTTTTAGCCAGGTTTTAGCACATATCGCGACTCCCGAGCATTCGCCAAGTCGTTGACCTTACGAGATGAGATAGGATGAGATCTGATGAGATGGGTGTTTGATTAGCGAGATGAAATGGAAGATATCGCCAATCATTGTTTATTGCTTCCTGGGAAGAGGTATAGAGAGGACTAGTATTACAGGCCCTTACAGAAGACGAGCATTTGATTTAATTGTGCTGCAGGCAAGTCCAGGCAATAGTCCAGATTTAGAGAGAACTACGATGAACTAAACTACAGGATTAGAGCATTACTTTGACAACATCATCTACAATAGTGAGCGGTTAGTTAAAAGTGAGCGTCAGGATAACGAAAAGCGCAATGACAACGGACCTTCACGAATTCTGTATTCCAACAGTAGGTCAGAGCTATGCTTTCAAGGAACTGAAAACAAAGGCGTACCATCATAATTGATTTGGCCATCACCGTCAATGTCTGCTTCGCGGATCATCTCGTCGACCTCGCTGTCCGTCAACTTCTCGCCTACGTAGGAAGACATTTGGTCTCAATTCCTTTGTATTCCGATATGCAGAGCAGTAAAGGCGCGCACCGAGATTAGTCATAACGTGTCGTAGCTCCGCAGCACTGATGAAGCCGTTTCCATCCTTATCGAACACCTTGAACGCCTCCTTGATTTCCTCTTCGCTATCAGTGTCGCGCATTTTACGCGCCATCATCGTCAGGAACTCGGGGAAGTCAATCGTGCCGTTTCCATCCGCGTCGACCTCGTTGATCATGTCCTGCAGCTCCGCCTCCGTCGGGTTTTGGCCAAGTGAGCGCATGACGGTTCCGAGCTCCTTGGTGGTGATTGTGCCATCGCCATCTACGGGTGGGTAAGATGAGATGAATGCCTTGTGGATTTATGCGCCGGAAGGGAGGTGCTCACCCTTATCAAACAATGAGAACGCCTCCTTGAACTCTAATCAGAAAGGGGCACCCGTTAGCGCTGGCGTATCTCGCAGATGGCTTTGTATGGCCTGATCAAGAGCGATGAGACGCCACGTACCGGCGATTTGCTCTGAGGGCAGCGGAAGGTAAGAAGAGGGTCGCGGATGGCGTCAATCAGCATTGGACCCTAGAACCACGACTCGAATGGTGCAGGGAGACTATTCACCTTCAGACTAGAATGCAAAAATTTGTGTCAATATCGCGCTTTAGGTCTGCAAAGAAAGGGACACAGCGTCCTCACCAGTTGATCCATTATAGTACGATACTAGAGGAGAGTGGGATGTGAGTATTGTGGGGGTGCTCAACGGTGATGGTCCTCAAGTGGAGTCCTGTTTTAAGATAGCAACGCTCAAGCCGCATCACGGCAATCTCCGACATTGAAGTTGACCACGGTGGCCACAGCGGTGCAATCAGTGCAACAACACCGCCGCGATCTCAGGAAAGCATAGCAATTGCAAGTAACAAACAGTCATTATATGGTACAGCAATATAACATGCTGCATAGCATGGGTACAAATGAAGATGTTCTGTTTTTCGTCTATTTTACATGTCGTCATCTAACGTTCAAGTTGTAGAGAATGCATCAAGTTCACCAGCCCAAAAATAACGCACACAATATTCGCCAGCAGTTTATCGAAGATTATCGAACGATACTGTCATAAGACGGGAAGAAATTTTCATTAAAGGTTAATTAGAGGTGCATCTTGGTAAGTCTTTTTGTCCTCCTCTTTGGAATGATGATATTAAGATTATGTCCAACAATCCATCACTTGCACACCAGTATACCTTCCAATACCTTCATCTAACGAGCTACGGCAGGCGGAATGTTCGTGAATTTACATACAATGAAGGTAGTTGGCTAGCTAAAATTTAGAAATACAGACGATAACGGTATTATTACGATGTATGCTACGCAGGGAAGTGTATTGACAATAATAACTCTCGGTGCTATACGGAAGTTCATGATAATCAGCAATCAGAAGCAATGCAAGGACCGAAATGAGATCATATAATATTCCCAGATTCCAGGCGATATTTTCCTTGGTACCGCTTCAAGGTCGGTAGTGATCTTGATTGAGAGATGCTTTTTGCGCTTGCAACTCTTCGTGGCTCTGTTTGAAGACAGTCAAAAGATCCCAAACACGATAAGACCATCATCCATTAAGCGTACCAGAGGGCGGGCATGCTATTCTTGATCTGCTCGCTCGGACATATGGACGCGCGCATGGAAGGCGTCCATGGGACCACCCTGTCGCAACCCACCACTGGGTTGAAGGTCGGCGGGGTCATTGCTTTTCTAAGGCCGCAGGTCAGCTCGTAATTGAAGATGCGGAAAGGAGAAATAAACACATACAGCAGGGTGAGGTTGGATGGAGTACGTAGGCTCTTGCGATTGAGACGAGCCTTGCCTGCCACTATTGGCCCCAAAGTTGGTGGCACACCCTTGGTGACTCAGAGAGTTCAGATTTAACGTTGTTGACGTTGTTAGACATGGTTGTGGATTGAATTGTAGAAGAAAGAGAGGTAGTTGAAGAAAGGGGTCTTATAAAGAGGTTTTGACGCTGCGGAAGAGGCCAGATGATGTCAATCCGCAATGACGCTCTCGGCATCATCTGGACTCCGCCCGAGCCCGCCTCCAATAAGGAGGCGCACGTCGGATTCGGAGGTGGCGGCAGATTTCTATTTTAGGACCGTCGATCCATGATGTCATCACGATTTATGGGTTCACCTTAGTGTAACCATGGATCGCAGTAGGTGTACAAAACCAAGGACGATGCATCACATAAAGTATTGCTTTACTATGTTCATACTCATTCCCGAAACAGAACTTCTTTGGATTTTATACAGTACATTGAGCTATGCTGGCAAACGCAAGCTACTGCCTGTGGTCCGAAAAATGCAAGGGACAACAAATTGGGGACAAAGTCGCTGTCTAACTATAGTTAAGTATGTAAATGGTTATCTCATTTCCGGGTCTTGCTTGTCGTGGAGAAGTTTCATACAGTAGCACCGAAGTAGCATACGAAGGTCATGAGATCCATCTTTCCGTCGCCTTCTTTGTTTTATATAAAATGGCGACACACGGATGCAACCTATCATGATCATTGTAGCGAGAAACCAACGATCCGATTGGATTATCTATGCTGCCTCGCGTTTTACTGCAGGTTGAAGGAGAAGGATATAGTCGAAGATCTGATTACATTTATAGGGTGTATGGAATCAATTATACGAGATAGATGTTCTGTTCTAATTTACGCTTCTCACACCGATCTTCATCCAATCCTGATATCAGTAACCGCCTCGAATGGATTATCAGTGATTTCACCATGAAATCATGTCCATAGCTTGGAAAGAAGTGGAATATTCCCCAAAGTAGCTATATACAACTTAAAGCCAAATCGCACGGGATCTGAACTTGTCTTTGGTACGGTCTAATTAAGCGCCCTTGTCATAAAAGGCTTAGCGCCAGTGATTCGCCTGAACTGCATTAATCTGAAGGGAATAGTATAGGCCGCGAACCGACCCTGGCTGCGCTTAAGCGAGGGGACAAGGTCATGCTACTCGCACGCAGTCGTTCCATACGATCAGGATCTGAAGGACCATGGCGCCGCCCTTTTGGAGCTTGATGTTACGGCACACATTGTCAATTGACGAGCTGAAGAAGACCGCAGCTAAAGAGTGATTTCAGAAAATGATATACAAGCAATTCCTCATCGCTAACGGAAATTGAACAGAAGCAATAAAAATTTCAAGTGTACCTTTAGGGGTGCGAACTGTGGAAGAACCCAACAAGCAGTTGTAGATAATGCAGAGGGATGTCTAGACCGCGCTAAAAAAAATAAGTTTACTCGCAGAAATATTTCAAAGTTGGAACTTACCACGAAAAAAGATTGCGTGAATAAATCGGCTTTTCCCAGATACTCAGTCCATATCGCGCTTCTTCTTCCCATTCCATTTGTAGATCATCCAGTTTTGAAAGAACGGCCGACACTCGATGGCTCTTTTTGCGCATATCGACAACCCACTTTAGAGCGTGAAGCGCTCCTCTTCGGACAGTTTGTCTGTCAGCAGCACCACAACAAGGGATGTCATTGATGGAAGATCAAACACGCGAGGAGGTTTGGTAGAAATTGCTCTCGGGGGAGGTGATAAGGGAACGCAATATGGGAAAGACGGGTCAAATGAGCCAGGTTTCTATATTCGTATGGCCCCATCTGTCCAAGTCGCAGATGGGTAATCTTACTATAGAAAGGTGAAACGGGCAGTCCGAGCATGGCGTCGGGGGGTGGAAAGGACCAGCTTCCATTTCTGGCGCTGAATATGAGGAGATGTATATCTGGTTTACAAGAGATGGTTTGTTCCGAGATGTATAGTTCCGAAGTGGGGAGTTGAACGGAAGAAAGGTATATAATGAAGCGAAAATCCTGTTCCCTCAGAGCCAGTTTGGATAGTTGATCACATCTGCGAAATATATCCAGAAACTTCTCGCATACGAATTTAGTCCAGACACTTCGAACATGATAACCTAGAGCTTGATCATCAATTGGACGCTTGACCATATTCTCCCAGACGAGCTTGGTTGTCCGCACGTCCTTGAGAATCATCGTTGAGTAGAGGTATGGCAGCGCAAGTTTACGGGCCCAAGAAGATGTCTGGCTCAAAACAAGACAGAACGAGGGCGACAGGATGCACGCATATCGGAGAATATGATCCACAAGTTCTGGCGGAAGATCATCGTAAGTGAAATCCATATCGATCCCGACAGAAGCAGGCATAATCGTGGTTCTGCTGATCTATTGAGAGGTTTCTTCGACAAAAAAGGTAATGTCAAGGCAGACAATGAGGAGCCCAACAGAATATCGTAAATCGATGAGGGTTACAGTGATAAACCGGGACTCACTCGAGCAATGTGAACC